ACTGTTTGCATTAATGCCTGACATACTGGCATTGGTTAATTTTTCTTTTTTTTTTGGTAAATCCCTTGGTTTTATTAGTCACAAACCAAGTATGAATATAAATGTGTGTGTGTATGTATGTGTGTTTCCCTTGCCCCTATGGTCTATTTTGCCAAAGACTAGATGATAGAGAATTAAGACCATCAGTAGGTTTTTAAATTTTTCTCAGCTGTTACAATAAAATGTTTCTAAATACATGTACATTTGTCTCTTTAGCAGTTATTTAATTTTTCCCCCCTCTGGATCCTATTCCAGAAATATTTTTTTCATTGACCAACAAAAGCAAATATATTTAGCTCCTCAGAAAATATTCTCATAGCTTATGGACGTCCTCACAGCTGAGTTTATGGGTAAATGTTGGTAAATAACTCTGAGTAAAAGTATGAAATCTTGAACCTTTGTGCACAAGAGATCCCATTTAATGGAAATTTTAAAAATAATCCTACCTTCTCAAATTATTTAATTAAGGTGTTATCGAGCAATATTGGTGTTTGAATCTCATATACAATATTATTTTAAATCTGCTTATGTGCCTTAACAAATGTCTTAATTTATTTGTTTATACTTTAGCCTTCTGCCACAGGATGGACCAATATACAGTGTATTCAGTGGCTTTCATTTTTGCACCACAGACTACTTTCTTTAAATGATTTTCTGCGTATTTTGTTGCAGCCTTCTAAGAACCTAGATAGCCTTTGCTTTGTGTCAGTAATTGGTCCTTTGATACATTTGTGTTCTAAAATACTTATTTCTTTAAAATATAGTCGAATCAATTTCAGACTTAAAACAATTACCTTGAGAGAAGGAGTATTTGGACTCAGTTTCACACACAACTCGCACAATTGTTATTTATGAATAGGTTTACAATTCCATGTTATCAAGAAGTCCTCATATGTCATAGGTGTGCTAAACATCTGAACTTCACATTTTAAATGTTCTGCCATTGTAAAAGTAGCCACCTCTTGGGAAAATCCAAGGGCAACTTGTAAATGTCTCTTGGTATTTGATGGAGACTTAAATATTGCTTATAGTAACCAAGAATAGTCAGTTTGAAAAGCTGATGACAAGAGAAAATTCCTGGTTGCTTTTCTTTTAACCTTGCTATGACCCTAGTCATACCCCTAGTCACAATTGTGTCTGTATCAATGGCAAGAGCACACAGATTGTCCGAATTAATTTTTTGTTCTTTTCAAATACTTCTGGCAGTGATGTTCCCATTTGCTCAGCAGTAGCACCTGGGAGTTATGACAAGGAAAAGAAATGTTTCTCCGAGAAGCCAGAAATGGCCCTAACCAGCTGACCAG